TTCTTTAATTATATTATTATGAAATAATAAACAAATATCCGTTACATAAAAACACGCGTAGTCGCGATGAAAGTCTGAATGTTACTGACGTTTACTGGCTACTGCACTCGTATATATTTCTTTATATTTTACGCTGTACAAGTATAATCTACGTGTAATGTATTGTTCTTATATATTGAAAATAAGTATAATGTTTTTGCTTTAAACTTATTACCACTGCGTGATTGGTTAAGATAACTCGGACCAGCCGTCGAACTTATATTTATAAATGTAAACAAACTTATTAGTTTACTTCTAAAACAAACAGTTGTTTCAATTATTTATTTATTCGTCGTCAAAGGAATTTATAATAAATAATGAAACATCTTTCATTCTTTGTACGGTAGAGTAATTTTTCATTTTTCATTTAGTTATTCTAATAATATACTTTACGGTTTTTTATTAGTTTAACTTTATCAGCTTAAAATAATTGAATAATTATTTACGTAATTGATATATTACTCTATAAAAAAGGAAAAATAAATGTTAGGAATCGAATTATTATTGTTTTGCTCTAGAAGAATTTTAAACGAATAAACATGTTTATAAACTGAAATCTAATACGTAAATCATAGATTGTTTTTACAATCTGTTATTAAATTAATGTTTTGGCGCAATAATTTACAGAGTTTTCCAAAGCTTTCACTTTTACACACGCGGTCAACAAGATTTATTTGCTATTGGCTAAATTCCAATAAAAAATAAATTATTACTTTTTATTTTTTCTATTATATTCTTTTTAGTCTTTCACCCACTGTAATGACTCGATTGTAATTTTTTTTACAGTGAAAAATATTTTGCGTGAAATAATAAAATTTTATAGTTTAATACAAATTATTCATTTGAGAATTAATATAAGAGGGCCTTAATTTATTGTGTTAACAAATTGATAAAAAATACTTCCGGTACATCTGTAAAATGCACATGTGGTTATCTTGCGTGTAAGAAAAATAATTCACTCGAAATCTGACGACTCTTTTATTTTTTTTTTTTTTTCGTCGGTTATTGCCATTAAGGACCGGGTCAGTGGCCTCTTGGACAATATAGTTGCAGATCTTTGTACTCATATCTACTATAATTGATTCACGAGTTCATAACTTGCTATAAAAAAATGTTTCTAACTGTATATAATTGTATTATTAATAATAAAATTTAGAATGAACAGCGACCTAAACACATGGACCTTGAAAATATATTAATTTATTTTTTAGATACAGAATATTTCAAGTTAATTAATTCTATTGAAAATTGACCTTTGTAATAAAACTATATTATCAATGAAGAAAATGATAGATAAAAGTAGATGAGTCAGCTACAAATTTAATTAATAATCATTTTTTTTATTCATTGCTCCTTTAGAATTGAAAAAAAAAATTATGAATATCTTTTCTTCATAAATTTTTCCGACCAAAAGAAATTAATAAAATAAATAAACTTATATTATATTTTAATTATATGAAGAATAATTTTATAATTGATTTTTCGAGTGTTTTTTTCATGAAAAATTATGAAAAAAAAAAATCATTCATTCTATGTTTTCAATTACACCATAATTATATTACCATGTATTAGGTAATCGCAAAAAATATTGAACCATTAATAAAATCTTATCAACATTTTCTTGAAGAACTTGTTTGCTTCTTTCTACTGATATATATCTAAAATAAGAAAGTAGAGTTACTTTCTTGATAATTAATAATATTACGCTACAAACTATGGGAGAAACATTATATTAATTATTCATAAAGTATAATTCTTAAATGAATAGCAGAAAAATATCGCATGTAATAGACTAACTTGTCTATTTAATTAAACGTTACGTTAAATAAAATAGTAATAAGAATAAGTAACCTGTATCGCTGATGAGTGAATGTTGCTCAGTTGGCATTTTATCGTACGATACAGAATAAAAATAAAAGTAAAGAAGGAGAAAAGCGTGATGTAATGGTATAATCGTCCAATAAGATTTTAGCGACTGTTTAAATTAAATGTTGTATGTTATTACACGCTGTGTGTTGCAAGCGATATTTCGAAAAACACGTCATTATCTTAAGCGCACACCCGCGGAATGGAAGAAACTGATTGGTCCGATATTACGTCACGGATTTCGAGGACAAGTTTGATAAAGAAAAGTGTTTACTATGAAGCTGTGTACAGCAAGATACAGAAGAACTCGACTTCTTTTTATATTTTACACGAGAATATTGTATATCGTTAATCGTGTATGCGACTAATTGCAAAGAAAATAATAACACGTGTAATATCTAGATATTTGCTTATTTGATAACTCGATTAATTCTTAGAATGTTTGACTCATTAAAAAAGAAAACATTGGACAAAAACAACACGTGATCATATATTTATGATGTAGAAAATTGTTTTGATGAATTTAAAATTTTGTTATTATGTTTGATAAAATTTTCAGAAATGTGTTGTTATTTAATCATCAGTTTTATTTTCAAATTTAGTCATTAACATATATTTCAATATTTTAAAGATGTCTTTGAAATGAAAAAGGAAAAATGCTGTTAACCATGAAAGTAACATTAGGTCAGAAAATATAAATTATTTTATGTTCAACTAATAGTGATTTTAATTCTGAATTTAAGATTTTTTTTTCGAAAGAATGATTTCAAGGCTCGGTCAAATTGAATTTATTTTAAATAATTATCTAATACTTTTTTAATATATTAAAATTTCCACATTCCTACTCGTTAATATTATTTTTAATGATAATCATAACGATAAGCATATAAAATTATTGAATTAGCTTTTTAAATTTTTGTTATATTTATAAAGTTGAAGACTTAATAAATGTTGCTTCAGATTATCGTCGTTTGCAAAATTAATTCAAAATAAATTAAGCGAAATAATAAAATTCTAACGGAATTTTGAATACTTTTGCCGGTTCGTCAAACTAAAATTTTTTTCTTTGAATTAAAAGCTGTAGAAAATATTGCGAACATTAATTGGTTAAAAAAAATTTAGGTAAACAGTTGACTATAAAGGCCATCCCATCAACTTCCCGCTAATTCCGTACCTAAGCACTTAAAATTGCACTGTTATTGTTATTTAGAGCTCTTCGATAACTCACGAACGAATCAAACGATTTTTACTGGCCTGGAGACGATCAACGTGGTTTCCTTTTTATGTTAAGATCTGATTAGTTTTTGGAATCGATCAGTAGAGCTGTTTAAAAGTTATTCCAAAAAAACCGCATTTAACCCTAATAACCGGCCACACCTCACCCAGGCCCCATAAGGACCATATGTAATTAGTCACCCCGTGTGGCCGGTAAGGGTTAAAAAAATTTTTTTTTGTAGTTTTTTTTTAGATTTCTCAAAATCTACCGGCTCGAATTAGTCCAAATTATATTGAAAATCTAAGTTGAGTCAAGCCCTTTCGAATGGCACCAACCGCGATCAACTCGGTTAAGCTGTTCAAAAGTTATGAGAGATTTACATCCACATCCATACACACACACGCACAGACATACAGAATAGTTTCCTAGGACCTCAAAACGTTGAGATCCGATGAAAATTCGATTTTCGAAAATCGAGGTAAACCAACAACTTCCCTATTTTTTTTTTGAAAATTTTCAATTTTCTTAGCGGGAAGTTAAAAATTGTCATTTTTGATCGCTCGAAAGTATTTCTGCTGAAACTCAAAAATTTTCGAATTAGGTGTCCATATGTAATCATAAGAAGTTCAAAACTTCAAAGCTGTAGTAATTATCAAATTTTTTTACCAAGTAAGAAGTAACGTTGATGGCTATGGAGTAAAAGTACTGATTTTTTTTAATAATGTAATCACAGCTCTGTTAGTATCTCTCAGATAACAAACAATCAAATCAAATTAATAAATTAATAATCATGTTCATACTCAAACCAGTAAAATATTAATCTCACTTTCAATATATCTCTCACATCTTCAGTTAATTATATCTCTGTAAAACTGTAAAAATTTCGGTATTTTCTTTTTTTTTTCTTCTTTTCTATTACTTTTCTTTTTGTAAACACTACCAATACAGTGCACTTAGTTTTAAGTTATACTATGTAATTTGATAAACTTATTTAAAGACCCTGTTATTGGCCTTCTGGCAGTTGGGTTTTATACAAGGAAATAAATAATAATATTATTTTTATAAAGCGTGTAGGTGGGTTTTTTTTTAAGTATTTATAATTCCCCCCCAATTAATTATAAGTGAATACGAACGCCATTTGGGAATCATTAAATACGATATTAAACTTCATTTAAATTTACCGCTCGCGGAAGAATACAAATTTGTTGTTAACGCATGCGCAGTGAATAAATTCATTAAATAGGGTAAAAATCCCGAACAAACCCGAGGATCATTCTCCTGCTGGAATGACTATATACTATATATTGAAATCTAATAGAGTGAAACGTCAAACATTGTTATTGTTATTATTGTTACTTCATTGTAAACGTCAAATTCTAAGAATAATAGAGAAATGACGTGTCAAATAATAAAAAATAATTTAATAATTGGAGTAACGCTTGTAAATAAATAAATCAGTATTATTATAATTACTTTCGACGCAATTTTAATTTATTATAATATATATGTATTTTGTTAAAATAACCTAAAAAAAAATTCAAGTAATGACACTGTAAACATTTGGTGCCGTTGTGACAAAGTGACAAAGAATATGGCAAGATTATTTACATATAATCTCAATCAATTGATTTTAAAATTTTTATTTTAAATATCTTATCAAGTATCATCGCTGCATAATATAAACTCTGACCTTTGGAGTGTGTCATTTAAAATTAATCGCAGAAAATTTATTAATTAATCATGAATTTTCAAAGTGATAATCTCTCAGTATAATATAAACCAAGTCTAATTTTTTATTGTGTTTGTTTTAAATTATGTTATTTATTGTATTTAAATTAATTTAATTTAATTGAGGTATTTTTTAAATAAATTAATTCTAATGTCACCTGACGATGAATTAACGTTGCCATTAGAGGCTGATGATGCGAATCAGGAGAGAGATCCACCACTTTGGCGAGTATTGCATGAGCTAGCATCCTCAAATCTTGATTTTTTTTCAAAACATCTGGACGAAAATGGTTTACGGATACACGCTGCACACATTGTTATACTTGACAATTACAATGAATTTCGTGAATTGTACAAAGAAATATCAGATATTGCACCACAGTTTGACTTTGATGAAATTACACCAGGTAATGGATACCGAAGTTTTCTCAAACTTGTTGACCAATGCTTACTGCACACTGGTGGAGTATGCAGGCATATTTTTTCCTACAAAGATTCTGTACTTTTTAGAAAATCTAATTATATGAGGTATACTATTAAAATTTATTAAATATTCACTCTAAACGACTAATTATTTTTACTCATGAATTATTTATTTACTTACAGAGAAATAGAAGCTTGTTCACAATTAATTGTAGCTCTTAAAACGTTTTTACATCATTTAAAGACACTTTACAGTTGGAGCGAACTAGCAAGTGATGGTAAATTGTCATTATTTCCTTCGGATGAACATAGCCCTCAAGAACTATTAAATCAGGCTGGAAATATCGATCAATATTGCTTCTATGGAAGATGTTTAGCTTTCCAAGTAATTTATGTCAACTAAATGTTTTTTTTTTTTTTTTTTAATTATTAATCAATAATTACTAATTAAATATTGAATAGTTTGTAGACAGTATTAAATACGTACTCAAAACATTGCTGTCATCCATGGCAACTTTCAGTGAAATTTATTACTCTAATGGATCCTTACTCAATAGATGTACTCAATCGGTTAAATACTTTATTGATCCAGAGGCACGTGCTCGTCGAGTTGTTAATATTTCTCAACGCGCTGAAGTGGATTTTTGTAAATCATTTTGGATGCTTAATGAAGCTGGTTAGTTTGTTTTTCATTTTTTATTAAATCCAAATTAACACAGCTGTACACTATATATAAAAAATAACTTCATAGTAAATTTACATCTACTTGTTAACCCGTAGTGATAATTATAGGTCTAGATGACCCCAGAAAATTTTTTAGTTGCTCTTGCTTCGAAGATATCATTCAAAATCGTTTATGGTACCATCTATTGTTGTTTGAAGATTTTTTGAGATTCGTGGAAATTTACGATTTCAATTGCACAAATATATATACTTTTTGAAAAGCTCGACATGACACCACTTTTTTAGTAGAATCCCGGAGGTCATTTTCATTTATCTTAAAAAATGTTTTTAGTAAAAAAAGTCAAATTTTTCAAAATTTGATTTTCTCGATTTTTTTTTTTTTTTATAATTAAACAATTAAAAAAAAATTAAAAAACGATTGAGTTATTCATCGGAAGTGTTAAGAATTACTCTCATGTACGGTTCGAGTGAAAATATTGAAAAGAACGCAAGTAGCAACAATTTTTTCCGTGCATGGGGTCAACTAGACCCAGTATGACCACTACGTTATTTTTAAGAAGTGTGACCACTACGGGTTAAACATAATTAAATATTTTAAATTTATTATGTTAAAATTAAAATATTGATTTATTATTTTCAAGACATAGTTCAATTTGTGCCATTAATGTTAATGCCTTCGTTGCCAATAAATCAAGTGATATCAATCCCTCCAGAAGAATTAACATTGCCATCAATTGATGGTACTGATGTAAAAATACCTATTCCGAATAGCCATATAGGAAAAAAACCGATCCACGTGAGATTATTGAGTGCAAAGCGCAGAATAGGAATGGTATGCTATTAAACTATTTCACATGTAGTAAATATAATTAGCAAATATCCAAAAACTTGTACTTTACTGTAGGTTGGATCCGCTCGTGCAAGTGGAGAATTGTTCGGATCGTCAGATGTACTCTTATTCCACTGTCATGGTGGTGGTTTCGTAGCACAAACTTCAAAGTCACACGAGCCGTATTTGCGTAGTTGGGCAATAGAACTTGATGCACCAATATTGAGTGTTGATTACAGTTTAGCACCTGAAGCTCCCTATCCACGAGCTATCGAGGAAGTTGTTTATTCCTATGCTTGGGCATTAAAGCATGCTAGTTCATTATTAGGAAGTACTGCTAAAAAAATAATCGTAATTGGTGATTCAGCAGGTGCTAATTTAAATCTAGCATTGACTACTAAATGTATAGAGATGAATATTCGTAAACCAGATGGCATTTTTATGGCTTACGTACCAGTGCTAGTGGAATTTGTACCGTCACCTTCAAGAATGCTTGGATTGACTGATCCACTGTTACCATTTGGATTTATGATGCGCTGTTTAAAGGCTTATACACTTGGTGATACTCGAACTTGTGTAAAAGATAAAGAAGCTGATATTGAATCAACTCCTTCTGACACAGATTCATTCGCTGAAGTCAGTGAGAGTGATCTTATTGCCTTAGCATTAAGTCCAAATGGAGACGAAGCGGGAAGCAAAAATAAACTAGCATCATTACCGTCTGATTCAACATTAAATTCAGTTAGTTTAGTTGACGTTGACGCTACTCAGGTGCCTCAAGCTAATTCAACAACTGAATCATCACAGGATTACATTCAAAGATTTTTTGACTTTTATAAAAATGCCGCAGCACGGCTTTCTCCATCATCGGCAAATAGTGTTGCTAATAATTATGATAATTATTCTGACAGTAATACGTCAGTTGGTTTCTTTGGCTTATCATTTAATAAAAGTAATCAGAAATTACGTGAACTAGACGACGAAGACTCTAAAAGTCCAAGTGAAGAATTTGTTTTTACTGTTCCACGTGATCCTTTACTAAGTCCTTATCGGTCATCTGATGATTTACTACGTAAATTACCACCAACTAAAATATTGGTTAGTATTAATTAGTTTATTTTTTAAAAAGACAATTTTTCTAAAAATATTTTTTAATTCCTTTTTTTTTTATAGACTTCAGAATTTGATCCTTGTCTGGATGACTGTGTTATGTTTGGACGTAAATTAAAACAACTTGATATTGACGTTTCATTAGACATTGTAAAAGGGTTGCCTCATGGATTTTTAAGTTTATCCGTGGTTAGTATAATTCTAATAAAACAATTTTATTATTTTTAGAGAAATATTATTACTGAAAATTTCTTTTTTTTTTTTTTAGATGTCTAAAGAAGCTCTCGAAGGATCGGAGTTATGTATAAAACGAATTAAGCAATTAATGAATATGTAATGATAATTGAAGCTTTAGTTGATATTTAAATGCCGTTTGACTTAAGTCTTTTAATGAAATTTGTAAATGTGTAAAGTCAAAACACTGACCAAAATGAATGCATAATAATTGTTCGATGCCTAAATATATAATAATTATAAATTAAATATTTCTATTTATATAAATATAAATATACATATGTATTAATACAGAGATTTGAATCCGCAGGACGGACAATAATATGAAATAAAAACACAGACCTCTCAGTTTTTTTTATTGTTATATCATGGCCGCACGGGTTTATTATTGTATGATATAATTAATATAATTATTTCAAATACAAGATAATTTTTAATTTAATTTTTTATTTTTTTACAAACAAGTCACCTAATTTTTTATTTTATCTATTTAAAAAAATTCAACGATCTAATGCACAGTATGTGCGGAAAAATAAATAAATAATTTAAATAAAATGAAATTGTTTAAACAATAATTTAATAACTGAGTGATTGTTATAAAATTATATTTCAAGTAATTAATATTTTTATAATGGAAGAAAACAATATAAGAAATGAGAGTATCTTTTATTGACATTTTGTACAACGGATAAACAAAAAATTAATTAAAATTTTGACAGAAAAAAATGACCGGGATAAGATAAACAAAAAAAAATGTAATGTTACTTACGATAATTGATTTGATTTAAATATTTACTTTTACTGGTTATTTATTTACTGTTATCAATTTTAGGATTTATATTATATTAGGTTGAAATTTGATGATTTGAATTAATTTGTGGGCGTAGGGTTTTTTGAAGCACATGTGCGTCAGCAGGTTCAATTCTTTTATAATAATGTTGTTTTGTTTCAACGATTTCAAAGCCAAATTTTTTATAGAAATCAATTGCTCCTTCGTTGTTTACTTGAACATGCCTATAAAAAAAATTCCGTCACGTTAAGATTTGATTATTATCTAATCTATTACAATTATATACAACTAAATATTTTTACTAAATTATTGACCAGTTATATTTACAATTTAAATATACTATACAAATTTACTTATATTATTTTTATGTCACATAACTTTGTTAAAGGCAGTATTAAATCAATCAGTGCAATTTTCATGAAATATTTTTCTTTTTCAGCTTAAACTGATAAACAAACTCAGAAGAAATAAATTAACCAAGAACCTACAGTAAATATTGTCCTAAATGTAAGCAACGACAATTGAATAAAATAATTGTGAAATATTTAAGCGGTTTTTAATATTTGAGAGCTAAGAAAAAAAATGCAAACTCCAGCTTTTATTCTTCGTCTTTTTAGAGTCCGTAGAGGATAACAGACTCACTGAAATTTTGCTGGATTTCCTTTATCAACGCTCATAGATTGTTAAAGCTGAATAAATCTCATATAATATTAACTACTTGTTCTCTTCGGCCACGCACACATCTACTTAGAATGTACTTAAAAAAGTTAAAAAAAAATTTTTTTCTATCAATTATTCTTTAACAATCGTATATGATTTAACAAAAAAGAAAAACATTAATTTATAGTTCATTAGATCTTTCATGAAAAATATGTAATTTATAAAAATTTGAGAATCATCGTTTTGAACAATTTATTTATGGCAAAAATAAAATGTCCTTACTAACAATGATAATTACACGACAATTATTAATTAAAATTTTTACAGATATAATTATGTGACAAATGTTGTTAGGCAAATAAATTTGTAATATATATTTGAAGAATAGTATTATAAAGTAATTATAAAATGAATTAAAAAAAAAAATTGAATAAACTTACAGAAATATTGAATCGAAATTCCCGTCTTTGTGTACATAATTTAATACATGTTGTACCATAACTGTGCCAATACCAAGCCTTCTGTAGGGTGACAGACATCCTAACGTCATTATGTACAACCTTCGTGAATTTTCTGATGTGTCAACTCTACAGCAAACTGCTCCGACCTTTTCAGGCAATTAAATAGATAAAAATATTATTTAAATAACAATCATGTATAAATAATAAACAAACTCAGATAAATACCACAATGTCATTGTAATAAGCTAACTTGGCAAGTTCACCAGCCTCCAAGACATCCTTATAAAATTTTTCATTGTATGATACTGGAAACACTACTTGATTAAGTAATTTTAATTGTTTAATATTGTGCTGGGTCACATCGCCAAGTTCTATTTTAGCCCTGAAATGGAAAAAAATTAATAAAATCAATTAATTATAAAAAAAAATATTAAATCACAATATAATTAAAATACATTTAATTATTAATTGTAAAATAGAAAAACGTACGGCATTGCGCACGAGGATCACACCAGTAGTTCATTCAATTATAACTACTTTTAAAAACATAATATCAGACATTTATTGTTAAATTTAATTAAATGTGATATTTATTAATTTAATAACATTTACAGATATTTACACATTGGTCAGTTTAATTGACAATTAGACGAATTTGAAGTTACAGATACTATTACTCAAATAAATTAATGAATTTTTATAACCTAAAATATTTTATAAAAGTTTTACCTGGTCATATTTTACACGGATGTCAAGAGAGTGTACTCGTAAAGATTGTGAATGAGAGTAACGAGGAAATCAAGAAAAGAGTCGATTCTACTGCGCAAGCTGTATAATATACTTGTGTGCACACATATGTATATATGTGAATATCTGCTGTGTGTATGTTTTTTTTTTTTCTGCTTTAAGCCGCTTCCATTGGATTTCCGTTTATAGCCGCCTAAAATTTATGAAATAGTTATTACTTTGGAGTTGTTTTTAATGAGAAATATAATTAATAAACAATTTCTCAAAAGTTTGTAAAATTTTTTTGACATTTTTTTTTTTTTAATTGATATTTTTATTAATTTTCAAAAAAAAATTATGAAAATTAAGTTAACCGACATCGAAAAACTTTCAGAAGTTTTTTTATTGAAAAATTATTAGAAAAAAAAGAAAATAAAAAATTTCACTTAATTAAAAACTTGAAAAACTATCAATGCAATTTTTTAAAAATATTTTTTTGTTTTTATTTAATAAATAAAGAATAATTAAAAAATTAAAAATATCGGCTAACTTTAGTATTATAAAAAAATTCCCTATTATTGAGAATTCTAAACTTTTTTAATTTATTTTATTATTTTTCTTTATTTTAAGCAACTCAATATTATAATTTCAAAATTTTTCTCATCCTATAAATAAATACCTATATTGATATTTTAAAAATATCTGATAATAAAAAAATTAGTTTCTTGACAGTTGTGTTAATTTTTTAAAAATTAATTACAGAATATGAAAAATATATAAATTTTAATTGTTAACTTGAATTAATAATTAAATATCTAAATTCCCGGCAATTAATTTTTTTCTGTTAAAATCATTTAGTTTTTTTTTATCGGTTTATAACTTATTACCCTACAGTTTGTTGACGTAAGTGCTGCATCAACGTACTATATATACATTTAGTACATTATACATACACGTTGATATGTGACTGTCGTCATGACTTTATTAACAAAATGTTTTTGATTATTAAATAAACTTTAAATAAATAGTAGTTGTGTGTAAGAAGTTTCAAACTTAATGTTAGTTGTTAAAAAATGTCAATAGCTGAAGTTTTAACTGAAAATAATAATTTGTCATTAACGAATTCAATAATGGAATCTTCGAGGTTAAGCAGCGGTATGTTATCAATTATATTTTGTAAATAATGTTAGTTTTCGTAATACTATCTCCCTCGAACCTTGAAATACTATTGATACCTGCTAGTTTAATTATAGCTATAAGTACTTACTGTGAAAAAAAAAAAAAAAAAAAAAAAAAAAAAATTCAATTTATTATTCTTGATTATTGGCAATTTTAGATTCTGATGGAAGTGCACCGACTTACAGTACAATGATGTCTTCAAAACGTAAATTGTCTGAGTCAGACGATGACTTAATCTATGATGAAAAACGGGCTAAATTTGATAACGATTCAGATAATGAATCAAACAGAGAATTGTCACACCAAGTGACACCTGCAATGGAGCAGACAACTTCTGACATAGGTCGTCGTTTAATGCAGAAAATGGGTTACTCTGAAGGACGTGGTCTTGGTAAATATGAGCAGGGACGTGTGGCTCCAGTAGAAGCATTTCAGCAGAAAGGTCGACGTGGTTTAGGTCACGACAATAAAAAATTAATAGAAGCTACTCTCAAATGGGACCCATCAGCAGAAGTCGTAGATGTTCATGAAAACATGCTTTGGCTTGATAATTCTAAAAGGCCGCCTACTTTAGATGAAATGAATTCGTGGATTGTTTTAGGTCGCAGACCAGATACTATCGACAATGAAACATTATTTTGCGATCCGCATATTGTTCAGCAGGTAGTTAATTCAAAAACAATATTTGATACGCTTGACAAAAATGAAATGCATCGTGCACGTAGTCGTTCAAATCCTTTTGAGACAATTCGTGGAGCTTTTTTTCTCAATCGCGCTGCTGTAAAAATGGCAAACATTGACAAAGCCTGTGATTTTATATTCACACAGCCGCAGTTTTTTGAAAGTAATGAAACGCTTTATTTTGCCGATGTATGTGCTGGCCCTGGTGGATTCAGCGAGTACGTTTTGTGGAGAACCAAATGGGGAGCAAAGGGTTTTGGCTTTACGTTGCGTGATTCAAATGACTTTAAGCTGGAAGATTTTTACGCTGCGTCACCTGAAACTTTTCATCCAGTCTACGGCCCCAAGGACGATGGTAATGTTTACGATCCAGATAATCAACAAGCATTTCAACGTATTATTATGCAGTCAACTAAAAATAAAGGGGTTCATTTTATGATGTCTGACGGCGGATTTTCAGTAGACGGTCAAGAAAATATTCAAGAAATACTTTCAAAACAATTGTATCTCTGTCAGTGCCTTGTTGCACTCAAGATTGTCCGTGAGGGTGGTCATTTTGTGACTAAAGTATTTGATTTATTCACTCCTTTTAGTGCAGGTTTAATTTATATTATGCACCGATGTTTTAGGAGAGTTTGTATATTTAAACCAAATACTTCTAGACCAGCTAATTCTGAACGCTACTTAATTTGTGAGGACAAATTACCAGGCACTGAGGATGTCATACAGTATTTTGACGAAGTTAATAAATTGCTTTTGAAAGATGACCCGAATAAGGACGTGATTGAATTGGTGCCACTGGATATTTTACAAGGTGACGAAAATTTTTTTATGTACTTGAAAGAATCCAATGAATCACTCGGCAGTAAACAAGTTGTTGGGTTATTAAAAATAGCAGCTTACTGTGAAGACCCTACGTTGAATGAAAAACGACAGTCTCAAATGCGTAAAGAGTGTCTTCAGTATTGGAATCTTCCTGATCAAAGTCGTACACGACCTCGGGATGAAAAACCTGATGACCGTTTGCAAGCTATTATCGGTTCGGCGCTTCAAACGCTTTACACCCACAAACCAACAATATTAACAAATGACAATTTGTCAAGCACTTTATTAACCCGTCCTTGCAATTGGGTTTGTTTGCCATGTGAAACTAAAAATTTTTCAGATCCTGAAAAATCTCCAACCTTTTATTACAGTGCTGGTCGTACCAAAGTTTATCGTTACATGCGCAAAGCATGGATACGAGTTGAAAATATTGAACTACCAACAGATACATTTATTTACGCTGAAATGGTAACGGAGATGCGTGGTGAAAGCAGAACCCTAAGAAGATCTCCGGCACTGCATATAATTGACGCTTGGTTACTTGGTAATAAAGACGTCAGTCGGATGTACTTACTTGATCGTTATGCCATGATTGAACAGTTTTGCGAACTTTTGTGGTCGCCGGAGAATAAAAAAGCAATGCGTGTACGTCCGAAACCACTTTACTCATTAGATGATGATCTTTCGGCTGTAATGAATTTAAAAACTCGTCTTTTGAAAAATAAATCTCCAGTAGAGGCTCTTCATCCTTGTGAGCCATTTTACGCAATTGACAACGAAAATGAACGCGAACAATTTTATATTATACCTAGTAGTATGATATTTTTAAATTCTATTAAACCACCTTGGGCTAAATATTTAAGTCGTTCCACTGCTCATCATTATTTTTTTAATTCACAAACAGGTAAGCAGTATTACAATGATAGACGACCTGATGAAGTAGCTCTCGATTTCGTTAATACTGTTTGTTCGCGGATCATTTGGTCTTGGCAAGATCCAAATACTCCAACGTTGTCTGATCTTAATGCTGAAATTAAAAGTATTTGTCCCGGTAATTTGCCCAATAAATCTTCAAAATAGTTGATAAATTTCTTAATGATAGCATTATTATATTCATTTTTATTTTATTCAGTCAATTTATTAATCTTTAAATTTGATTTAACGATTTCACGTTTTATCTTATGAGAATAAAATTTATTGGTTTTATAGATTTTTTCTTTTTTGTTTTATTGGACTGATCAAATTTTCAAAAATATTTTTAAGTATTGTAAATATTGTACATTTATATATTATATGACATACGACTGTGAGAGTTTTTCGTAAAGTACAAAAATGATTTAAAAAATGTATCGTGTAATAATTATTGCTAATTGCAATTAGAAAATACATTAAAAGACACTGTTAATCAAAGTCTCATTTCACTATGATGGGAATTACCATAGACGGTACTAGGTGCCGTAAGGCATCAACAAATTTCTCTCATTTAGTTAATGTATTTTGGATTTAATGTATGAAAAATAAACTTTAATTTTTAATTTCTTTTTGTTTTTCACTAATTAATACCTAGTTTTTATTTTAAAATAAAAAAATAAATTTATCATATGGGTAGATAATCGCCAAAAATTATTTTTATCACTATGTAATTTAAATAAAGGATATCAATAAACTTTATGATGAATAAATTTTAATGTTTAAAGTAATTAATTAAAAATATTCTTATTAATTATGAAACATTTAATTTATACAGTTTGTCTTGTGTTAATAAAATAATATAATTATCTGTTGCAATAGCACCCATAATTGATGTTGAATCGGTTCCTAAGTCGATTATTTTTTGTTTAGCCACATCAGCATGTTGTTGTGGTTTTTCATACAAAAATCCGTGTCTTTTATGTTCAATAATTGCGACATAATTACCATTAGCAGGTGAAATACAAAACTTTTTGTTTGCTTTACTGGCTTCTACATATCCAAAACCGGGAAAAATATTTTTATGAACTAATTCCCATTCTTCGTCCCTATGAACAGGTTCCCATACACAACCGTCGTGGTTGTAACGTGCACAGAGTACTTGGCATGTTTTTAATTTATGCGTAAACAGAATACGATTGTGTGAAGTTAATACAGTCAAGTGTGTTGTTGTATGATTGGTTAAATTAATTCGTTGTAACATGTTTTCACCTCCCTCTAAATCACATTCCTCTAGTTGTTCGGTATTGAAGCCTATAGCTTGTTGATCACTATCATTACCTTGCTGTTCTGAGCATAGATGAGCTAATCTATAATAAAAATTATTTTATTTTTAAAAATATTCTTATTATTACCATATTAGAAAAAATTGCAACTTAAAAATTAACATTACGACTTATCAGAGGATAATTATAATTATTGGAGCGGGCAAATAAATTAATACTTCTTATTTGTCGTTTGAAGAATTAATTTATTTGCCCGCTCCAATAATTATAATTATCCTATGATAAGTCGTAATATTTATAAATGAGGAGCTGATACACTAACATGATGTTAAAAATTAATATCATAAAATAAATTTATTAATTTACCTGGAATGTATTTCAGAAGCTAATAGATCATTAGGTAAACATTCACCATTAGTATCATTTTTAATTAATTCATTCCACATTTGTCCAGTTTCCTGTTTCATTAATTTCAGCTTCAATGTATCATTTTCACAATTCCAGGTAGCTGATTTATGATCAAGACCAAAAGGTACTTCTCCATTTATTAAAACTTCATCTTCAATTACAACTGAAATATAAGTTGCTGAAACTTCAACGTTGGGTTTGGAGCCTTTGTGCTTTTGTGGAATTTTAATCCACACTGTCAAAGATTTTTCATCCTGTGACCAAGAATATTTAGGTATTTTAATATCTGCAATTTTACTACCTTCACTACAATCTTTTTCCTGGATACCATTCAATGAATCGTGAATAAATTTTGCGAGATCTTGACTTAATAAATTTATATACTCGCCATTAGGTTCTATAAAAACGTATTCAATGGGCCCGTTAATCACCAATTCTTGTTTTTTATGAAACTCAAGACCTTCATGCCAATGTCCGGGATTTTTTAATTTATAAAATAATAAAATTAATTTTGATTGTTTTTTTCCGTTAGTTGTGACAATTGTGTATGTTGATATTATCAGTAAATTTTTTGGCTCAACGTAACGAGCATCTAGCAAAATTCCTGGTTCAGTGCCTTCTATCATCAGAGATGAAGAGAGTTTGTTTATCAGAACTACCTCGAGTACTGTGTCACCACGTGATAAAATAACTACTCCATCACCAGCAAATGCTATCGTTGGATTAAATTTATATGGTAGATCACATAAAACTTTTTTTGTTTCTACTTGATTGAGACTTCCATCCTCTTTCAACTGCCATACTCCATAATCTTGATCCCAAAACCAGCATGATGAATCATACGGATTTTCAAATAAATGATTGTGAAAAGCAAATAATTTAGCTTCCAACCATGAATCTTGATTGCTTGATGGCTCTTTATGTTTAATATCTGTAATTTTTTTATTTTTAAATTAGAAAATTCTAATTTTCAATTACAAGTATCAATGAGTTTACAAAGGTTAAGATTTAAGGAATATAAATAAATGCATTACTTACGTTTACATAGTTCTATTTCTTCAGTTATTGGTATAATTTCAGATGAAAATTGATATTTTTCAAATTCATTATTTAACAATTCTTTTTTTGGTCTTAAATCTACTATTTTTGTCATTTTTAACCCGCCAAGAATGATTTATTTATGTGTAAAGAAAATATTTTCAATTAGCAGCGCTATCTGTCTACACTTACATTTAAAAATATAACACTAAAAAAATATTTTTTAAAAATTGCACTTATAGGTAGTTTTTCAAATTTTCTACATATCAAATTTTTTTTTTTTAATTGATTTCTATAAATTTTAATAAGAAATTTTGAAAAAAAAAAAAAAAAAAAAAAAAACTTCAGATGTCATTATATTAACGTTAGCTGTCACTTGACCATTTTTTAATTTTATTTAACAAAAAAATTTGTTCCAAAAAATTATTTTTAAAAAATTACATTTTTAATTTATTAAATTTTCTAAATGTCAATTTTTTTTCTTATTTTTTTTTTTTTTGCAGTAATTTATTTATGAAAAAAATTCTTAAAATTACTAAATATCTGCAGAATTAATTTTTATTAATAAAAATCTGAATTCAGATGTCTGCTACAAAATAGATATCAATAATAAAAATCTATTAAATGTGTTCAGTATAAAAAAAAATAAATAAATAAATAAATAAAATAAAAAGAACTACTGAATTGTTTTTTTTTTATTACTAAAAATTCTAGACTAGAATTTTATTAAGTAAAAAAAATACTTTGTAAATAAATTTTTATAACGTGTCAATTTTTATTAAAAACAGTAAATTACACTATGTTCTTTAAATATATATTTTTGTATATTATATACATTTAATAGAATTAAAAATACGTGATTTTGTGAAATAAATGAATAAAGAATCCTGATGAATACTAATTAAAGAGAAAAAAGAAAAATATATAATCAGTAAAGAATAATATTTGAAAAAATCGTGAAAGTAACATTTAATAAAGCTTTAATAACATCATCTTATAATAATCTCTATAAATATTTTAATAATTGATTGATAAACTAATCTCAGTTCAGATGATTGAGAATCTACTGGTCAATTTTATTATAAAATTTTAATTTTATCCGACAGTTTAAATATCATCTATGATAAGAGAGCAGAGTCGCAGCCCACATTAATCGTTGCCAAATCCAGTGTGGTACTCTACATGGTCCTAAGCTAGACATTGCACCAGCTAAATGACGCATCCAGTCCCAAAGGCCCCAGGGTGCATGACCACCGTTGACATAAAGTACATATGTGAATCCATCACGGCACTTACCACGTATTGAGTAATAATATGGCAGAAAACTATGTAGTCTAAAATGACATCTTTGGTAGAATAATATTGCTGGTGCATTACTTGACAGTACATGTAGAAATACAGCTTTAACTATTGAACGTTCTGGTGCTGTCACGTGGGCCAATAACTGTTCAAGTAATAACGAAGCAATACCATTTCTTCTATAAGCACGACGTACACCCAACGATAATATATACCCGACGAGTGATTCTTTACCTAAACTTGAACACAATATACCTTGGTCTTCTTTATTTAAAGTCGCAAATGGTTTTATTTCAGCGACTATCAATCCAATTATAACACCGCCAAATACTGCTGCCAGTGCATAAAATCGTGATGAACTTGTTATATCTTCATACCATGAGTACGGATAATCTAATAAATTAATAAAGTTCAATAGATTAATAAATAAATAAACAAATACATTTATTTAAATAAATATTATTTAGTGTAAATAAATTTACCTATCGGAAACCAGTCTTGGCACAGTGCACGTACTTCTTCTAAATCTTCTGGACAAAGAAAACGTAACTGTACATCTCCAAGAAGACATAGTGGCACTGTTACAGGCAACGAGGATGACGTTGATGATTTGTTGGTATTATATACAAAATTTTGTGGACGGTTATGCTCATTTTTATTACTCTCACGATTATATTTATTACTCGTTACTCCAATTGCTGCTGTTCCGGTAGATGATGGTGATGATAGTAACCCACCCGATGGAGATGCTGAAGTATTATAACGTTCTAATGAAATAGCCATTTTATTATAACCATTGCATTCACGGTATTGTTGTTGTTGTTGTTGTTGTTGTTGTTGATGCTGCTGCTGCTGTTTGTAGTTACTAAGTGTTGCGTTCTTCATTAATTTATTACTAACAAATACTTGTAAATTCTGATTTGTTTCGATTACAACAGCACCAGCCATCACATATTTTAGTTAATGTAATCCACATATTTAAGCATCGTTTTTTATATTTTTCAGATATTCAATCAATCACAATAATATCTATAAATGACGTTATCAAAAAAACAAACACTTGAATCGCGTTAAAACTTTAAAATGACTCACGTCACCAGTTGTCTCCCTCGAATACCTTATTCCTATTTTAGTTGTCATTTTTATTTAATGGTTCATTTTTATTTATATTTTATGTATAAGTATATATTTTATATAATATTGTGTTATATATATGTACATCTGACAGTAAACATATAATTAACAAATTTTTTTATTTGTTAAATTACAGGTTAAATTTTTAAAATATTTGGCGTTTAAATTGTACTTCTGTTAACGTTGGTGATGATCGATGATTAAATTAGTCCTGATAATTGACAATAATAGACGATGCTGATAAATTGATGATTCTTATGTATGAGTATATAAAAGATAATCGTATATATGTATATAATATACAACACAATCAAGTAGATTTTTTTTAATTTGTGGTGGTTTGATGTTTGGACAAGTCGAACAGCTGTTTGACGTAGTTGCGCGCCTCTACAACTCACTACCCAACTAATACGGCTTATATCCTTTTTTCGTATAAGCGAAACTTACCGAAAACTTATTTATCCTAAAAGACAAAAACCGACTCGCCATCTACAGAAAAAATTTTTTTCCTATGTGTAATAATTCGATATGTCAATTCTCGATCGGACACTATCCGAAAAGCATGTTGACTTTTTGCAGAAATATATTTTGCAAGAAAATCAACTAACCGGAAAGACATTATCCGCATCGTCATCAATAGAAAATTATTAAATCCTCTTCGTTATGATCCCAAAAGTAAAATCTCGATTGGACACTATCCGAAAAATTACTACTTCAGAGAACAGTAGATAATATAGAAACTTTTATTTGCTACTCAGCAAAATAATCAGTAGGTACAGAAGAAATTAGTGAAAAAAAATTCTTGTGATTTTTTGAATTATATGTCCACACACGAAAAAAAAATGTTGTTGCATTATGTTATAGTTTTTAATTACACAATTATAAATTTTATTGTGTATAAAAGACAATAGAGAAGATGAGTTGTTCGAGATTTACAGTATACGAGCAGCTAGTATTTTAATAATCTTTTTTTTAATGCGAGCGAAAATTTCGGTAAGATCCCGGGAAGAAGTTGACAAAAAATTATATAGTAATATCTATTTTTTATTCGAAAAAATTAGTTATTAATAATAACACTAAAATTTTTAATATTTCTTAAAAAATTTTTATTTCGATATAAAAAAAAAAAGGATAAACATTTTTCTTTTTGTCGATTACATATGAGGATAAGACATTTCTCAAACAGCAAAAAATGTATTTTGTGTGTTATTTAAAATAAAGTATTATAAATTCTTAATTAAGTTTATTCTGATATATCTTGATTATTTTTTATTAAGCAGAAGTACTATTAGTGAATTGCTGAGATAAAAATTATACGGACGTTCTTATAACGTACGTTACAAAAATAGCAAAAATACAAAAACTTTGTCTATTATCATTTGAAATTCACATTATCGACTGGATAAACTTGTTGCTCGATAATATAATATAGTTTTTTTTTCATCATGTGAGAATATTTTCGGATAGTGTCCAATCGAGATTTTACTTTTCGGATCATTACACATAGGAAAAAAAATTTTTCTGTAGATGGCGAGTCGGTTTTTGTCTTTTAGGATAAATAAGTTTTCGGTAAGTTTCGCTTATACGAAAAGGCTATAAGCCACTAATACTCATTGAGCTATTCGCTAAATAAATACACATCACATTAAATACTACGTTGTACGCATAGGGCTGACACATTATTATGATGAGTTTGCTCCTTTTTAATCTATATATTACAAAATTATAAATTAATTAATAATAAACGTTATTGTTTAAATTATTTAATTGAACATTCATCAACAAAATATTTTAGAGATGGCAGCTAATAAAAGTGTTACGGTATTAGCTCCCAATGGAAGACGTCAAAATGTTAAAATTACTCCAAATACAACAATATTACAGGTAATTTTTATAATTATTATATTTATATTAATTTTTAACTCTAAATTTTTATCAAAGAAAAATTATTAATTACTGTAACGTTTTAGGTCTTGGAAGAAGTATGTCAGAAACAAGGTTATGCATCCAGAAAATGGGATTTAAAGTAAGTTTTAGGTTTTATAAATAATTTCATTTGCATACACTATCGTTTTTTTTTTTTTTTTTTTTCTTTTACTTTACAAGAAACGAAAAAGTTTTTTAGCTCGTTTCTTTAAAAAGTCAGAATAAAATTCCAATTTTTTTTTCTTAAATTATTGATTTATAATGCGCTAAAAAATTGTTGATAATAATTCTTCTCACTAATTAGACACATGAATACGATATTGGATGTTAATTCAATATTCCGTTTCACGGGGTTGCCTAATAATGCACAACTGGAGATGACACCGAGGCCAAATGAGCGTGCAATTTCTGTGGTGACAATTGGTATTCAGTTGGAAAATGGTCAAAGACTAATGGGTGATTTTAGTCCTGTGACTACGTTGAGTGAGATAATCAATGCTCTTTGTTCAAATGAGCAAGCTGATGATACAGTTATTATCTATATGCATCAAGAAGTAATACTTTTAGAATATATTTGTAAATATCGCGTTACAGATGCCATAAGGGCGTAGAAAAATTATAAGCCCTTATGGCACCCGGGGACCATAAGGGCGTATAATAAAAATTAGGGGTGTGCGAATATTCGAAATTTCGAATTACTCGAAGCGAATCGAATCGAACTATTCGATTCGAGATTCGATACGAATATTCGAATTGTTCGAATAGTTCGAGAAATTCGAAAGATTCGAAACTTTTTCGAATCTTTATTAAATCGATGAGACGTGATGTTAGACACTCAAGTTACACTTTAAACATGAGCTAATAGCTTTTTAGTGTTTATAGTATAAGCTCTAATACAACTAGCTATCTTGATTCAATAAATTTCAGTCATTTTGAATCAAATCAAGCAATGATTTGACTTCTTTTACTCACTCAGTCGAGTCGCGTTATGAGCCCTCCTTGTGTCTCTCTCTTATTGACGCGAGTCTGGTTAAAAAACAAAGAAAACAAGCCGGACTCATAACGTGATTCGACTGTATTACAAAGTCGTAGCAAATTAAAATATTTAATGTCGACAAAATTCTTTCTCAAAACCCAGGTAAAACGTCAATCTTCTGATTTATCGAGGATTTTCAAATTTATTGATAGTTATTTATCTTGTGCAATTTGATTCTTATATGATAACGGAGGTACATTTTGATCTAAGATTACTTCAAAAAATCGTTATTTTTGTTTTAAAAGGTCACTCCAAATTTTTTAAAATTACAAAAATCGTCAAAAATCGAATATTTTTTTTTTTTTCTCGTTACGGTATAATTTTATAAACTAAAAAAAAATGAGATTCTGAAAATTTCAGTTCAAAATTTGAATTTTGAAAGGTCGCTTATAATTTTTTTCAATTTATTAGTGCATTAGTTTAGATTTTTTCGAGTGACCTTTTACCATTTAAATTAAAATTCCATGTATTTTTTTTCTTTCATTTAGTACAATAATTGATAAAAATACATCACGAGATGAACTAGAAATCAAGCACAACATAGAAAATATAATTTTTTTTTTAATTTAATAATTTTATTTAATGGACTGCCAGGTGTGGGTTCGAATCCCAAGCTGGTCTTAGAAACCAGCTTGGTTGAGATTTGACCTTGCCGCGTAGATTAAGATTTTTACAAACCAAAAAGACCCTACCGTACGACTCCCAACAGTTAAAGTCGGCGATATGACTAATTAAAGTAAAAAAAAATTATGAGCGACCTTTCAAAATTTAAATTTTAAAGTAAAACTTTCAGAAACTTACTTTTTTTTGGTCTATAAAATTATACTGCAACGAGAAAATGAAATCAAAAAAAAAATTTCGATTTTTTGATGATTTTTGAAATTTTAAAAAGTTTGGAGTGACCTCTTAATTTTTTTTGAGCTGTCCTTTGGTGAGGGCTCTTAAAACGATCAAAAATACCCACATTTTTTCAACTCGAGTACTAAAAAAAAAATAGTCGG